TAAGTCACGTCAAATCTTTCATCTAGAATGCTGCAGTCTGCCCTTGTGCATCAGCATCAACAGGCAAAGCCAGACTGAAAGCAACACACAGTTCTCATAAGTACATTTCTATCTACAAATACATATAGACATCAGGGTAACTATGTTTTTTCCTGCATGCAGCTGAAGCCATTTCATTTCCTAGCTGGCAGTTATATGCCATATGTTTGTCACAGGCACATCACTGCTCTGAGCAGTGGGGTAATACTTCAGGCCATGCTTTTGTTTGTTTTGAGTAAAATGGGTTATAGACATATTGACTGTGACCATGTCATGCCACAAAATTGTTTTATTGTTTCAGTCATGCTGGGTTGGTCAGTGCCATGATATTAGGCTGACTAGCTCCTTATATTCCCGAAGGAAAAAATGGAACAATAACTTCCAGCTTGACAGGATTTCAGTTAGTTTCTCTGCTTTTATTAACAAGCATATAATATTAATTGGCAAAACACTGAATACAAGCTTCACTATCATAAAATCAAAACATTAAGCAATAATCCAAAAAGGCTTATTCAGACAAAACTAGCCACCAATAGTACAAAAATTACACAGCAACACAAAGCATAAAAAATTGTAAACTTTCAAATGAAGCTAAGCCAAAAATATGGTTTTACACTGTGACAGTTTCAGTATCTTTATTATGCCACATGAGAGAATAAAGGCTTAGTGGTTGCACTGGCTTATTGTCCCTCAACTGTAAAAGAATCTTGTTGCAGAAGGAAAGAACAAACTCTCCTTTCTTTAAGTAACTTGAATTTAAGGTTCTAGTAAACCTACGTTTTCAGTTTCAAATAAAAATTAATAATACTGGAACATCATTCCAGCCTTTAAAAATCAAGACTCCATCCTCCAGCCACAGCTACCATCACCTGAACGAACCCTCTGGTTTCTGCAGAATCATTCAGGCTATATGCAAAGTTAGCAATATAAGCACTCATGGAATTGGACATTTAGTTCCCACCTTCTTACCACTCAACTTACTACTCAGTGGGTAGGCCACTGTGGCTTTGAAAGATTTTCAGGAAGCTCCACAGATGAAACAGGATCACATAGCAAGACTGGAGCTTTAATTTGCATACAAATAAATCATAAATCCAGGATAAAATATTACTATTAGCTTGCCATAGAAAGCAAGTTTCTAGAAAGTGTTTATACTGATTGCAGGTTTTCATGAAAGCAGAGATTGAAGTATTGTTCCCATCTTCCATAATGTTCTCTCTATAGGTTTTTACTTCAGTAACAGATGCCAAGACCTCTCAGTTACACTTAATTATATCTTACGCACAGATTATTTTTCTCCTCTTATTAACTTTATCCAAAGGAACTGAAGCATTAGCATCTCCAGTGAAATATCCAAACTGAAGTTATCACCTGAGGAAGTTGAGAAACTAGATTTTTCTGTACAGTCCAGCCTTCTGAACAAAATGCATCTTAAGTATTGTTGAGAGTACAAGCCTACTAATATTCACCTGCTGATGTACAGACTGGTTGGCTTTTTCCTATTATATTTAGCTCAATGGTAAGATGCATCATGCAGTAAAACAGGCTAGTTGTATGGTTACATTTAACCATCCAGTCGGGAAAAAAAAAATAATAAATCCATCTCTTACAACTAATTATGTTGTTATGAAGACAAAAGAGCCAGATAAGCTTTCAAAGGCTCATAGCCTATTGGAAAAAATAGCACCATCATAGTTGTAGTCTGATATTTTTTATGGTCCCATATCCCCAGAGATTATAGTGTTGTGTACACTATTGCACGACCAAAAAAAAAAAAAAAAACCAAAAAACTTCAGATTTGATGGTACACAAAGATACCAGACATAACAATGGCACAAAACATTTTCAGATAGGCTGCAAGTCTTGCCGATTGCTTCCACAGTTCACATTAGAATTTCTTGCAAGATCATTTATTTTAGAATATTGCTGACAGACAGTTCTTGTACTCAGACAAATTTAAATCCCGCACTTCACTCTTAAAATAAAATAAAGAACAAATCAAAAAACAACCTTCCCAGATAACAATCCCAAATAAAACTTCCATCTACGTTCCTTTTTAACGGTAAGTAGATGCTACATATACAACTTAAGCATATGCCTAATAAATGCATGTTTCAAACCTATTGCACAAAAACATAAGTAATGTTCTTTATCCACACAAAACAAAAACATACAAACAAAAGCTAATTAAACTCAATGTAAAAGGAAGAAGCTTGTAAAAACATCTTACAATTTCATTTTATATGCCAGTACATAAGGTTGGACCATTGAAACCAATAATACTTGGATGGCAAAATAAGACAGAAGGTTTAAAATAGAATAAATAATTTTATAGAGTTAACTTTTAACATTCCAAATCTTATTTAAATTTAATATCATATATTCTATCTGAATTCTCTGTTTTTAATGAAACTATATTTAATGAGACTCTGAGCATGGGTGATTCATCAGTCTCATTGCTGCTGAGGGTAACGTTACAAGATACTTCTTTACTGAAATTATTTACCAGCGTAAGCAATTGTGAAAACTACTTCACAGTAGTGCCATCTTGACAAAATCCAAAATAAACTGAATATGTTCTCACTAGGACAGAGAGATATCTATGCTGAGTCCAACTTTCTGTTCAGGTTTGAACAGAACCCCGGTTCCTATATAATCTTGGTATAAATTAACTGTCTCTTAAGCTTCGCAGAAGTGAAACAGATCTCTGACCCAAAGGAGGCCTCCCTCTCAGTTCAATTCAATTGCATTGTTGTCTTCTAGTAAGGCTAGAGTAAATAAATACGTGGTCCAGACACAATCCCAACCCCTCCTGAGGGAAAGAACATCTATAGCAATGATGCTATGACATATGATTTAGAAAAATAACTGGGATTTCTCTTATATTTTTCCTTTTCTTTTTACTGAAGAGGCTTTATCAAATTAAAGACATTGCAAAAGCAGTTGCACACAAATGAGGAAACAAACAAACAAACAAACCAAAACAAACCAAAACAAAAAAGCATTTGTAGGTATTAATACTGCCTTGAATTTACCTATCTATATAGTTATCAACAAAATCTTCAACGTACTGGTAGCACCATTATATATTCAAGTGATTCTAAAGAGAGCTACAAACTTCCAAATATACATTTTGTACTGCAGATTATTATAGCAAGAGAAAGATTTGAAAGGCTTCTGAATTTGCTTTTTTGCAGCTGAGTTTCAGCTGTACAACTGAGTACAAATTAGTACTGTTCCAACTGCGGTGGAAAGTGCTAAAATCCTAGCACGCTTTATAAGCACTGCTTCAGAGTCTAGATGTACAAAAGCTTTCCGCAGTACACTCCTTCCAAGGTAGGCAGATCTCACTCAGGAAGTATGTGTATACATAAAGAGTGTGGGTTAGCGTGTATATATCCACACAGATACAAATACAAAAATCACCTTAATTAACATACTCTCCGTGAGCTTTAATTCTATGTCTACATCAGGTGCAGGGAGTGGCCCATTTATAGCCCTGTTTGTACTCTCAGTTCCTCACTAGCTACAGCCAGTCCCTTATTTACAAGGGAATGCTAATGGCATGAACAGCTCCAGAAGGGCCCAGTATGTCAGTCTGCATATGCATTTTTAACACCTGCTTTCAGTGTTTTCATTAAAGATTGTAAAAAGATAGACTCGTGATCTCATCTGCTAATTCGTGTTAACCAAAGGTAAAAGCTGAAACAGGTTTGAGCTGGAAACGGCAGCACAAAATTGGAGCTGAGTTCCGATTCCATTGCTCATAGGTGCATGCGTGCTCACACCAACGGATATGGAGTTCTGCCTAATGCAAGCATTCAGTTTGCCTATCATCTTGCCCTCATATCTGCAGTCTTTTTTAGCATTTGCACCTCCTTTACATCCCCATATTTCAGTAGGCTCCCTTTCTTTCTCTGCCTGCACACCTTTTGATTTACTTCCCATTCACATCTGTGACTATAAATAAAAATGAGAAAGATATTTTATCTTTGCAAAGATAAATAGAAAATGGAGCATCCCTTCTGCGGCAGCACAGCTAAGAAAGGAGGGCTGAAGACTCCAAAGAATGAAAGTGCAGGAGATATGCTAAGGAATGTGGTGCTTTGAAAGCTCAAGAAGATGACTTAAAATGCTGAGATATACCTCTTGCACTATCAGCTTCCTGTTATCAGTAATAAATTATACTTTCTTGCTGAAGAGAGGAATAAGCACAGACAGACAAAGCAGGGCAGCTACAAGCAAGCTTACTTTCTTATCCAAAGGCAGTTTATAAAAAATAATATGTATAGCAGCTAGCATTTTCAGCTGATTGGAAAACCCTTCCAAAAGTTAGAAGATTAGCTGTTTTCAGATATTAATAGTATGTTTGGAGTTCTACATAACTCGACACGCTGGCAGCCAAACGCTCTTGTCCTATATGTGCTATACAGTATACAGCTTGCAGAAATCACTTTCAACTCTGTATTTAAAAAGGTGACAATTTCAAAAAGCCTTACAATGCAGTGAACACTGCTAAGTGCTATTGAGGGTGCATTCCATAACACAAACAGTTATATGTGTGTGGAGATATATGTACACACATACATGGTATTTATGTTACCTTGCATCTGTTAGGGCTGATGCAAGTACTGTTATCAATTAAGGCCAGAAGGTGTGAAAATAATCTTGTCTGACCCCCCCAAAAAGTACTAAAGAAAACAGAACAGTTTCACAAGAAAATAGGTGAAGAAAATACAAAGCTGTTACTAAAATATAAAGCTGCTTCTACTTTCTGAGGAATTTTTAATCAGTGAAAATTGTGCAATATCACCCAATGTTGTCCAAGAGCCAGTGTTTCATTAGCCAGAGAGAATAAATTCTCTTTACAGTAAAAACTGATTTCTGCAAGCTACAGCTACATAAGAAATGTTTATTTATATATATATATATATATATATATATTTAAAGTTCATAAATCTAGCACTTTTGAGTATTTATCATTATGTGGTGCAATATATGCCACAGCAAAATATCAGGGCACATTAAAATCAGCTGCAGAGATTACTATTAATCTTACCAAATCACCATGCAAAAAGGCATTAAAACTTTACTAAAACAGAAACTGAGGGAGAGCAACAACTGGATAAAACCAACAAATAAACCCATTGTTTTCCCAGATTTTCAAAAGTTTTCAATGCAGCATAATAAATATCACCAGTCACTATATCATTAGTTATGTTCAATGACCTACAGAACTTGATTAAAGCCAATGCAATCAGGCATACTATATAAGACAAGAACACTTTGCAAAAATATATTTTTAAATATTCAGAATGTGAAAAGTAACTAAATGCAACTTGGTGTCAAAAGCAACATTTTAAAATCACCCCACAACATTCTAACTTATTTCTGTGTAACTGTAAGAGATGAGTCAGGCTGAGCTACATGGAACTGTGAAGTGTTTTCAATATCTGTAAACCTAGTGCTGGTAGTGTCTTGTTGAGTTTTGATTTCTTTCATATAAAATAAGTATAAATATTTTCTGTCCAGAAATCCAGATAACACATCCCCAGGAGAAATATTCAGAAGGACAGTCAGCTATGAAAGCACTACAGTCTTCCAAAATTATTCGGCTGATTCATATCATGTGATTAGTGATGCACTAAGAAGGTGCCAGATGATAGTCTCTGCAAAAAGCTCTGTCCAGAAGGACAATAAAGTTCTCTTACAGCAAGTCCATTTTGGGTCTGTAATGTAGCAGTAGAGGTGCTTTCTGCAAGATAGAAATATAAGCTAAGTTAAGAAACAAAGCCAGAATTCATCTTTCCAGTAGACAAAACTTTTGTTTCATAAACCAAGGCTTAAACAAACTATCAGAATAGCTGTCTGATCAATCAAAATTGCATCAAGACAAGAAGGAATTTCATCTGTGAAACTCAAATCAAATGGAGAATCCATTCCCTTTTGTCAGGAATACATCGATCACCTTACGATCAGTTCTATCAAGACTGTTTAACTCAGGAAACCTACTAAGAGAGAAATGCAAATGCCTAGAATTCAGTGTAAGAGCACACAGTACATCATATATTTAGTAGTTCAATTCCTCTTCTATGAATATACCTACTGTTTCCTTTTCTACATAGGTAAACTTGTAAACTTCTAACATCTACAACATGTCACATCAAGGAGTAGCTCACCCTGCAAAGAATCATTTCCATTTGTTCTGGAGCCTCTATGAGTTTTCATCTTACGCTCCCCACCTCTTTCACTTAAGATATCAGTACACAGTTGCCTTTTCCATTTGATTCAAAAGTACACAAATCTCCATGATAAAGATGAATAGTAGATCAATTTGATGCTCTTGTTCAATAATATATTTTTCGTAAAAATTCCTAGCATTTTTTTCTTACATTAGGATTTAAATCCTCACAAATTCAGTTAGCTTACAATTCGCCGTTGTTTAAAATTCAGCACAGTGTTATCCCCAGTAACATACACTGAACTTGAGGCATCATCCATCAATCTCTAATCACAAAGAACTGTAAAGGCTTTCTTAAATCCTTCATGATTAATCTGACTTTCCTATCCCAAATAGCCATAGTATTGTTACTGAGCTATTACTGCATTTTCAAACCTCTTTCCTGATCACTCAGGAACAAATTATAGTAGGATTCTAATTATGACCTCTCTGCCAATCAGAGGCTGACCTCTGCCTTCTATCTGTATCTGCTATGCATCTGTATGTAGAAAAAAACCTGTTTTACTACACAGCTGCACATCCTTCAGACGGTCATCCACAGCCACTAGGTGGTTCTATCTCATACACTGTAAGCTTGGGTTGTGTCTGTTGTCCACTATTCCACCTCTTATTTCAAAGCGCATCAAATACACATACAGTGAATCTGTAGGTGTGACGATTCGTAAGTGCCCAACTTTGCAATTCATTCTTACATCTATTTCACTTGAGATGCTATTATTAATGTGATAACTAACACTTAAATGCTCCACTTTATTATTCAGCTGCAAAGGGGTTGTGCAGAGAAACAACAATCAGTAAGTTAAAGATGTACTCAAGCACATTTAACATGCCATGTTTATGGCTACTAAACACTGTTGGAATTCTCCTTAACTAAGGCAGGCAAGCATTGCAATTACTCTTTCTCCCTGAAAAATAAAGTTGTCCTGTTCAGCTACAGGAAAGAACTGTTTTGAATATTTCTGCCTTTCCTGCATCACAGTTCCTTTCCCCACCTACACAGAGTATAATCAGTTTCACCTATCACAACTAAAATTAATACTTTCTTGTAGCTTCCAATTAATTTTTCAGAGTTGAACACAGTTTGACAGCTGATGCAACATATCATTTTCCCTTGTTTGTTATATTTAATCAAATTTAATATTTACTGTTTAAAAATGCTGCATTAGATAGCTACGTGCTTGCAGTTATTGCTTTGTAACTGTGAGTGCCACACATTTTGGAAACATTCTTAATCTAGATATTTTATGATTTATTTGAAAGTGCTATGTCATACCTTAAATCTCCATCTTGTAACAACTACAAACTTGAGCGTGTGGTCCTTGCCAAGAATCTCTTCATTGCATAATATGTCCAGCTGACAAAACAAAGACGACAGTTAATGTGTTGAGACACAATCTGTGAAACGTGTTTCAAACAATACTACAAATGTTAGACATGATTTCTTTTCTCCAAAGACTATGGAACTATTCATCCTGCAGTTGCTCTGCAGACAAAAGTAGTTTAAAAAAAGAAAACAATGTCTTTTCTCAACATAGAAGTGCTGTACCTATCTCTAATACACTGCATGAACTGGACTTAACTGTTTGACTTACCTTCTCAGGCAGTGCTAATGCCCTCTTCCCAAACGCTTTACATCACTTTATTGGGCATTCTAAAAATCTAGCAATAACTCAGACCTTGAATAACTTGCAGTAAGCAAATGCCTAGAACTTAACACTTGCTACTACAAATCAGTTTCCTGGCATTAATACACTAACTGCACCACAATTTATATATCCTGTAAGAAAGTGGGACCGGTGGCAGAAGAATAAACAGTACCTGTTACAGTTTGTTCCTTCATTAGGAAGGATAATAGGCTGTTACATCAGAGACTACTGGCATGGGGCCTTAAACACAAAATCAAAGCTCTGTCTTAAAAAAAAATGTCTAATTTAAAGGGGAAAAAAAATCCCCTTTTGAAACAATGATGCTACTGTTCCAGCCACAATTCAACAGCTTATAAACCAGATGAGGACAAGAAAGAAGATGCTCCAGTTTTGTTTCAGGAAGCCTAGGTAAGTCTGGGGACACTAAAAGAGTGGTGTGAAATTAGAGAAGTTGGAATGCAAAAACGGTACAGATACAAACCAGCTGCTGAGAAGTTTGAGTAGAAAGGTGTTGACACTCCAGACTGGAAAGCAAATGTTTGAGATTAAAAGAGTCTGTGAGCAAGACCCAGAGAAGTGGTCAACAGTAGCTGCATTACATGTTTGCCTTAAGTGTTAATTTGGAATCTGAAATGGGAGAAGTGTGAAAAATTGTCTTTCTTTTGGTACAGTTCACTGTAAGTACTTTACATGATTCCAAGTATTCCTTTGGAAAGGAAGGATAGAGCACTTTGCTTATGGTAGGCAGTGACTTCACTGACAGCACAGAAAAGAACAAAATATTCATGCTGCTTTCCCTTAAGGTCAACATCAGTAATGCTTAATTATTTGTTACTGACTGTCCCCTGCAGTGAATGTGAAACCTCTGCAAGGGCCATGTATAGGAAACAGCCCTAAATGCACCTGAATATAATGTATGAAATAAGCTCCTTAAAAAGTCTGTTTCAGTGCATGTAGCTCATAACAAAGCCATTTGGTCCAAGTAAGGACATGAAAAGATGCACTGCAAACTAATATGCAAATCCATTATAAACCCAAACTACATTTTAATTGTAACATTTAGGATAAGGAGGTGATAGAAGAAGGAAAATCCACAGGAAATAAGACCATAAATCCAAAACTGAAAGTGAAAAAAATATTGCATTTTTAGAAAAATAACTTGTTTAAATTCACCTTTTTAGATTACAAAAATAACTATACAGATACAATTTAAGACACTGCATTTGCTGCTACTTTCAGGACGTAAAATAAGATGTTGCTTTGAAAAAGAACGATCCCACACTTTTCCATAGAACTTTTTATGCACAGAATTATATTTGAAGATTAAAATATTACCTCATTAAAAGAAGAAAGGTTTAGTTTTTTGGCAATGAACTTCTTTAGATGCAGGACTGTTGCTTGTGCTGAACAGCGAATCCATTTTCGTTTTAATCCACGCAGTTTGCTGCTATTGCATTCCAAGCAGATGCTTACCTTCAGGAAAAAGCAAGCAGTAAGGGCTGGGTGCAAGAAGTTACTGCAGTTCTCATTATGTATTCCCTAGGCAGTTCATGTTAATACAATGAAGCGAAAAATACTAATATTCCTTAAAGTGAAATGCATGTAATCCAACTAAGGAAAACATTTCCTAAGAACCTGTCATTTAGTGATAAGCATGCTTGACTAAATTCTTTTCTTAATGATGGAAAAAGTATGTGTCAGTGCATATTCACAGGCTGCCAAAAACTCATGAGGGCCCTACATCTAAAAAGAGTCCGAAATATAATAAGAAAATTGTTTTCAATTCTTAACAATTGCTTCTACTGTAACTCCTTGCTTTTAATGCGACTGCTAATTCCAGAGAATTTCAATGTAAATTTAAAAAAAAATAGCAAATTTAAAAAGAATGGACAAAAATGATGCAACATACTTATAAAATTCTAAGGATGAGCATCAAAATAAAGTTTATTTCATTTCTATGCTTCAATTGTCACTTTTCTCATCCACCAATTTGTTATTTAGTTTAAGCTCTGTGCTGATTCACTTTATGTGCTAAGAGGATCTAGTATTAGGTACAATCCCTTTCGAAATTCTCTTGTTTTATAATTGAAAATTAATCCAAGTTAAATTAACACTGGAGACATAAGAGAAAAATATAAAAGGCATGGCTGGTATATCCTAGCAAGAGATTTCACTTTAAAATGTGCACTGTATTTACAACTTGATGGTGGACTTTCCAGCTTTCATACTATTTTGATGGCATAGAACTATCACTGTTCAGAAAAGAGAACCAGGTTTTATTCATTATTATTGATACACATTCAGTTCAGTGTATCAGAATAACACTGAGATACACTCATTCATGAAGGGACTCAAATAAGCTGAATCTGTATTAATCTGAAAGCCAATAAACAGTTTGAAACTCAGTAAAATAATAGAAATACCAGGTTTTAACAAAAGTGCCTTTAAAATATTATCCATTCCTGCTGTATCCCATTGATTAACTGATACTTACACAAAATCATCGTGTAACAATGCATCTTGTTTTTGGCAGAGAACAAAAAAAAAAAATATATCTTGAAACAGTTGCTTTTCTTTATTAATTTAACAAAGCCCTAAAGCTAAAACTCCAGATAAAAATAAAACATGACCTATGAGCCCACCTGTTCATCACTTCGGTGGTAGTCATTATCTTCTTCCTGTTTTTCCTCAGAAGTTTCTTTGTTTGAATTTTCATCTGTTTTAGTTTCACCTTAGGTAAGAAAGCAGATATGTGAGATAACACTTGTCAGAAGATTCTCATGTTAACGTGATTCAAACAGCAGAGTTCCTGACTGCAATACAGAATAACTTCCCAGACAGTAATTATTTTGTTTAGCAACACAAGCTGCCAACAGACCCACATATAAAAGAGCAGAACCAGTATACAGCCTAGTATTCAGTTCAACTGCTTGCAGTGCAGGAGTTGAGTAGTTTCACTGAGTCCCCATGCTCTGGAGTACTACTCTGGAGACTGCCTTCACCAAGAGTGAAGGAGAAGCTAAAAATAAAGGTTACATGAACAAATAAGAGGCAAAACCAGCCTACATGCACTGTGTTGTACAGCATGATGAAGAAATTCTTAAAAACCAGCTGGACACATACCTCTGGCAGACCTGTTTGACAGTTATGAGCAGCACTCTACCCAAGAAAGAATAAATAAATAAAAACATCTACCATTTCGATGAGAATCCAGATGCTGCTTTGCAGAACATGTCTCCCCTTTGATGTCTCCTGGAACTTCCATGCCCAGTTTGTGATAAAACTCCCTTTGCTTTTTCATTTCCGCTGTTTAAAAAATTGTAAATATTAACCTCTGTAATGAAGTTCTAATACAGTATTTCTGAAGTTATTCCAAATCTCTCTCTTCGCAGGTGGAACAAGACTGCCAACAAGTAGTGATGTTGTCACCACTTAATCCTCCAGCTTTGCTACTGCATCAAGTCATGGCATAATAGGTCTATGTCCACAGTTTACAAAGGAAAAAAAATGGCAGCTGCATTGTGCCAGTGCGTAAAAGCTGAACTAATATTGTGGTTTAGTAATAGTTGTGGTTTAGTACTTTTTGATTAAATATTCCATCTTGCATTTTTTTTTCCTCTCCATAAAATTACTGGTAGTACAGATATGAAGCCAAATCAATCACAAGAAATGAACTAATGAAAGAACAAATTTTATGCTGTATATTTTATTTCTCCTCAATTTCCCCTCCCTTCTGTACTTCGTCACTTGAAACTGTGAGATTGTTTATTTGGTTGTGGGGTTTTTTTTTGCTTGTTTTTTTTTTTTTTTTTTTTTTAACTGTTACAGAAGTATGTGCAAAACTGTGTCTAAAAAAAGGATCATACTACAGCTTACCTTCTTGGAGGCCTGGCACAAGTTTGTAAACAATATCTTGCATTGTTCTGTCATGACTATCAAGGGGGAAAAAAAACAGAATCAGAAGTTTAACTCAACTATCTTGTTTCAAAACATATGTGCTAAACAAGTCTCAGTGCTAAAATGATTTAAAAGCTCTAAATCTGTTAAAAAAGAATTTCAATTCTCAAGCTTTACATAAAATAAGAGATGAGAGTAGTTAGAAAGTAACTGAGATAAAGACTAAGATAGAAGGCCTGTGAAAGTAAGAAGAAGAATTAGGATTTTCCCTTCAGCAGTCAGGCATATGTCACCAGTAATCTCAAAATTCCTTTAAACTTTAAGGTAAACACATTTTTAGTAGAAAAGAATCACAGATAGTATGTTTTTTGTATTTACAGATTCATCTCTCATCTTCCTGCATTATCAAAATGAAAGAAAATAACACACACACACAAAAGAAAAGATAAAAGACAACAACATAAAGAAAATTTGATTTTGCTCTTAAGCCATGCTTTTATCTATGAAGCCCATATGGAAAATAAGCCCCAAATGAAAGAAGCGTTAGAAGCTCATACATGCCAGAACTGGTTGAAATTCTAAACCTCAATAGCAAGCTCACAAATATAAATCTCTGTTCTAAATCATAATATACTTACTATTTACCTGCAACTTCTACATTAGTCTAAAATAAGTCACAGTCTGAAAGAAATACAGTATTATCCTAAATTCTAATTCATAAATGAAATCAGAAACAATTTAAGTATCTGTCTCAGCTGCTGCAAGGTCATTACCTCAGTAGACCTTGCAATATGAAATCCTGGATCTGACTTAAATAAGACAACGGGCTTACAAGAGTAGTCTCGGGTTTCTCATCACCTCACGTGCACTTCACAGCAGTGGAGATCAGTGAACAATTACAGAAATGGTAACAATTCGAAGAGTGTAATGGATGATTATGTATCTCTTGAAGTAGGACTACATGGAGAACCAAAATATCATTAATCCTAAAATTCATATAATTTCAAGCAAAAGCAATCCCATTTATACTGGCTTGGATTTTCAGGCGCCACATGGATGTTTTGGCAACATCTCCAAAAATATTCCAACAGAAGTGAGTGAAATTACCATCACCTCAACGTCAGAAGTGAGCATTTAACATCATTAAGGATTGTAAAAGAGAAAACACATTTGGTTTATAGGTTCTTCAGACAAGGGAGATGAATACAAGTAAAGAATTCATGTTCTAACACATACAGTGAAACTTTTGACTAACAATTATTTATCCCATAAATAAATAAATAAATAAATAAATAAGACAAAAGTAGGCTAGGCAGACTGTTTTAGTCTCAAAGGGGCAGCACTTTACAATTACTACAGGTAGAATATTCCCTTTAAAGTATTCTGTGACCAAAAACAATTTGTGAATTCCTTTCTATATTTTCTCAATTTGATGCTCTGCTTCCTGGCCCCTTTTGGCTCTGAAAACAAACTTCTAAGCCAAGGTATTGCATTCCTGTAGCTTTACAGTAGATGAAGATGCTGTCTTGAGCCACATAAATTCCTTCCTTCCTATTGGCATCTACTTGTGCATTCAAAGCATACAATGATAATACCTGACACGTATGTATCATATACTATCATATGTATACATGCATCAGATGCTAAAAATAGTTTTGCTGATTTAGTAAAAATATTATTTCTATACATGTTTCATTTATGTAGCTTCTATGATCCATTAAAACTTGCTCAAAAATTAAACAGGAAAGTTCATAGTTTGCACATTCTAAGCCTTAAAAATCCTAACAGATGTCAAGGAGTTGAAAATTCATAGGAAAGTCTGATCTTGTATCTCCTCATGTAATTTCATTCAACCTTACATTTAAATTTATAGCCTGCTGATCAGCACATAAGACATTTCAGGAAAAAGCTGTCCTGTATTAAAGAGTTTAAAACAACCTAGAGTGAAACTAATTGCATTTCTTCTTTCATACTTACCCAATATACTGCAAAGGGTGGCTCTGATGTATAACAATTCTACATGTCGGACAGGTGTTGTTTTCTTCCAAATATTTCACCAGGCAGCTTCTACAGACTGATAAAAAGGACATTCATAATTAAAAAGAAATAAAACAGGCATACTGAAAAACAGAAAAGCTTGTTTTTATATCATCGCAAAATGCTTGTTACTGAAATATACATAAGGGTGATTTTTTCCATCATACAAGCATGTCTAACCATGCAAAAAGCAGCTTTCAACATTTTTCACAAAGTCTCTTGATACAGAGAAGTGCTGCACTTAAAATCAAAGCACCTTTACATGGACAGAGTCTGCCTAATACAGCACACAACACACAATCCAATTTTGGAACTTACTAGAACAGCTATTTCTATCAGGTCAGCTCGCAGCATCCAGTTTGCACAAATGATATTACAGGCACTGTATGCCATTAAGGTACTAAGCCAATTTGCTTTAACCATGGCTGCATACAGAAGTAAGGTATGTGTGGAAATGAAACTAGGACAAAGAAATTATTTTAAGTAGTATTTTTTTCTTTTTTCTTTTTTTTTTTTCTTTTTTAAGAATAGAAAACTCCAAAACTGGATATCCGGTGGTTATTTCACTTCTAACTTTCACAGACTACATGACAGTTAAACTTCTCTCAGAAAAATAATGAAATGGGGACAGATCTTCAGTATTCATAAAAAGAGTTGGTGAAAGCTACGTTATAGAGCTGAATGCCATTGAAATGTTCTCCAGCTGCACATGCACGCTCATCTGCACCTGGTTCAAAATAAACTATTCATTAAGAAACAGTATTGGTAATATATACCACTACATGATTTCCTGACTCACTTGAAGCTCTAAACAAAACTCCAACTTTATATGTTAAGGCAAAAAAAAAAAAAAAAAAAAAAAAAAGCAATTTACCTTTCTCTTAGGCAACACCAGTTCATTTAATTTTGGTATTAATGCACTCATTACACAATGTAAAAGAATTTCTGTAACTACAGTGCCATCTAGCTCTCAGACAGGAAGATGGTACATTTCAATAAACAGCTGGTAATATCAAGAAAATTACACAGCACCAAAGCAGGCATAAGGACTTTGTACTTTATATTGTATTTACACATTCATAGTGACAGTACCACAGCTGGTAGAGGTTATGGTCATGTCAAGACTCATAGCTTTGAACAGAAAGCACAGACCTTCCATAGCAATATGTGGCAGTGGAATACCACAGCAGCAGTTCTGTTTTCCTATTTCAATCAATCTTCCAGTCTGGAAGAAGTGTGCATCAATTCCTACTAAACAGAACTCAGTGCAAGTCAGCCTAGATTCTGATAGGCTTTTTAGTCCACCCACAACAACTAAATAAATGCAATTAGATGGCTTATCAAGAGTTCTGCAGTCTTATAGATTGATTTTTTGTTTTGTTTTCTTCTCAAGATAAAGTTGGGTTTAATAAACTCTCCTGAACATGGAAGTCCTAGAAATACAGGACAGATAATATGCAAAATATTCTGGAGTCTGAAACAATAGTATTACTAGAGAATTTTGATTAAGTGGGCTTTCAAAGAATCCCATCTTCATTTATCCAGACAGTTGGATTGTAGCCCTAAACTGAGTATATTTTCTGCTTGCTTTCACAGTACACTCAAGCATATCCAAGAACATGCACTAGAAAAAGAATAGGGAGGTTGATTGTTTATTTGTGCAGCTTCACTCTTCTTGACAATTTCCATTCTATATCTAGTTCAACAAACAGTTGTTGTTCACCATCCTCCAGAACTCACAGAATACTACCTTCTGTTTCTCATTTCAAAATATTGCTTACACATAAACATCAATGAATATCAAATTGAAAATATGGAAGTTTATAAAGACGTGTATCTGACAACCTAGAACTCCCACCAAGAGACAGAAGTACACTAGGAAGATTTAATAATGAATTTCTACTATTGAATGTTTTACCTACTCATTTAGAGGCCTGCCTGTCAGCAACAATTTAGAGATGAAGTATAAAAGGAAGTGGAAAAGTGTGTTTTCCTCAAGAAGATTCTCACCACAGGTTTCAAGTATTCCCCTTTACTGCCAAAAAGTCTATGAACATCTGAGGAGAGGAATATGAAGAATAATGAGGTAACTGCGTAGTTATGAGTAGAAGCAGAAAGAAAATTACAACTCAGCAGGGAATTCATTATCTCAACAGGCAAGACACTTTCAGGGTAGACTCTGCAAGGATACTTTTTCAGGAGTGTGTATCATTAGTATTAACATATACAACATAAATAATGCCAACTTGTAGAAAATGGTTTTTGTTTGTTTGTTTTTAATACAAAGCTGTAATTCCTGTCAAAAAAAAAAAGAAATAAAAAAAATCCAATGCTACTGGACACACTTGGAGTTAGTATTCTGAAAATAAAAACAGATTAAGGGCAGCAAAAACCACAGAATGGGTGAAAAAATAAAAGCAAGGCAGCTAGCAAGTGGTATTCCCTGGCTTTTGGAGAAAGTATTATGGATTAATAAAGACTTACTTCATAAGTGAATGTGAGAAACACCGTAGATTATGTCAACAGAGAGAAAGGGTTGTTTGTGCTTGTGAAAGAACAAAAAAGGTATCTGTAGCTCTAAGTCAGCCATGTGACTTTGCACAATCCTGTTTTTATATGTAATCCAATTAATAGCAGTAGTTAAAAAAAAAATTAAGCAGAAGCCACGTTTAAGGAGCTGTCTCCTTACACTCCAGGAAGTACACTATGGAAATTATGGTAAGAAGCATTAGTAAAAAGGGACATAAGAATAAACAGAATGGCATGGAAGTGTGACAATAACAATAAACTTATTAAAACTGATAAACTTAGAAATGAAATAAAATGGAAAATGTAATCTTAGCTGAGATTACTTAACCTTTCTAGCAAATTTTAGGTGGTAAATAAAACAAGTTAAACAAAAACTTTCAGTGGAGATGAAGCCATTGCAATTAAATGATTAATTCTATTCCAAGAAAGCTTAGGACAGTGAAGCTATTCAAACAACATACTAATTTTATCAGTGTAATATACTATGACAGATGCATTTTAAAATGGATTCTGAAGTTGCATGGCAGGTACTACTAAATAGACTAATACAGGTCTACATGAACAAAACTAATGATGTTCTAAGCCCCTAGCAGATAAAAGCAGACAAAGAGAGGGCCCAGCTTACATAAATGTGTTGATTAACTGAAGAGATTCTGAAGACACAGCTCAAAAAAATACTTTTGCTAAAGCTCTGTAATATAAAGATATCTTTGAGTGAAAGGTGAGAAGGGCCCCATAAGTGAAAGTAAAAAGGCAAGAAGGCTTCACAGTGACTGAGAATAAAGGGAGTGAAGGGGAACAGTTAGAGATAGTTTACAGAAGCAAGAACGTAGAGCTTGTTATAAAAGAAGGGATGGCAGACACTGGGTCTTAGATAGTGAGGGAGATGAAGGCCGTACAGATAAGGGTTTGAGAACAACCCAGGGACATTTGGCAGAGAGATGATTAGATGTCCGCAGAGCAAGAAGAAACTGTTTTGAGGGGATGCCCCCCTGAAAGGTCAGAAGTTTACAACGAGGAAGGTCAGAAGCCTTTGTGAGGAAGACAACAAATCTTCATCCCACAACCCACTACGCACGCGCAAGAGGGGAGGGTCTGCATGCTAATGAACTCTCGGGTGTGTAATGAATATGTGTCTGAATTCTGGGAAAACTATTGATTATGTATTAGTTTGTCCTATATCTGTAGCACTGTAGCATTTTTCCAGACGGTGTGCAAGCTTGGAGGAATTATCCCCCCTGCATCCAGGGGATGTCTTTGTGCAACTGCTGATAAAACATACCTTCCCTGTATCCTTACAGGCTATAGGGTTTGATTTCCACACGTCAATCTGGCGACCCAGATGGGACCCGCCCTGTTTGGCTGCAGGACCAGCTGAGAGAGGGGACGCCTTTGGCGCGCCCCAAGATTTCTCAGAAGGACTCCCTTTTCTCACCCAATCACTGCGGGAGCAGACAAGGACCATCAGCGGACCAGGTATGTGATTGGGAAAGGGAACCTATGAGTCGTACGCGAGGAAGAGAGCTATCGCTCCGCCGTAGGCTGGTTGGTTGGTGACAGGATATAGTGGGTATTCTGTTGAAAGGTTGCCTGGGCGCTCCTTGCTGTGGTAGCAGGAGTTTTGGGTTTGTGTGCTCATTTACCATCTGTTGCTATATTCGGTACCGTGTATTTGAACAAGTCATTGTATTAGTACCACCAAAATATCCTCTAAGGAATTTTGAACTTGGCTAAGACCAGTCTTGTGTGTCCTGAATGAGCGTGGTGTGAGTGAGACGTAGCAAAGCTATGGGGTGAGAGTGGAGTCCCAACCCGCGCTTCCGTTGTCCCATGAGGGGAACGGACGGGGACACACAAAGCGATAGTCTGTCTTTGTCTTGTTATCTGTTTCGTTAATTGTCTCGTTAAATGTTGTTATTATCTTAGTAGTTGTAAAATACTGAAGTGGATTGGGAAAGGAAATAGGACAAACTGTTTCGATGGTATAAGAAAGTGTGTTAATGGTATACGGAAGTAGAATTGAGTATATGGAAGTGTAACTGAGGGTACAAATAGTGGAATAACATACAAAAGAAAAAGGGTTAAAGAAAAAGTGAGTTTATCTGTGCTGGCATGAAAGCAACCCCCCTGCTCCGTTCCACCCCGAGCAGAACTTGGTGTGAGAGAGTGAGCCGGGGATGGAGACTGCTGCTGTAAGCAGCATTACTTGCAAAGGGGGAGATGGAGAGGATAGGGCACTGGAAGTGAGAATAGCCTTCATCTGCAGAGATCTAGGAAACCCAAAATCCCAGTGTTAGCATTGGGAGCCTCTGGAAAGGAGGAGGTAAAACTGAAATATGATGTCAGTAGTTGATATAATGACGAGAGTTTGGAAAGTGAAAAGTTTGGGAAGGACACAGGCTGAGGAAGGCAGAGATCAGCAGGGTGTGACAGGGATGTCAGGACTGAAGGGAGGTAAGCGACATGAAGGAAAAACAAACAAAAAAACTGAGTGAGAAACAGAGATAGTAAGGAAATTGGGAATAATAGCAGCTGTTACTGTTGTGGCACTAGAGCAGGGCTGTAGGACCCAGAGATCCAGAGAGAGGTGGGGGTCTGAAAGAGCCCAGGGAGGGCTATGCCCCTGGAACGAAAGCAGTATGCAGAGAAAAGAGGGAACTGTCTCTGGTTGCAAAGCTGAAGGATTGGAACCTGGGAACTTTACCCTCGCAGATCCACTGGTTAAATTGCAGCTAGGGGAACAGAATAGAGAGGATTATCTTTTGGTGGATATGAGTGCCTCTTACCACCTGTAAATGAATTTGTAACAGTAGCAGGAACTAATGCCCAACAAGAAAAGGCTTACTTTTGGATCAATTAAATACATTACTTTTCTATACTTAACAGATACTGCTATTAACTAAAGTAATAACATTTTCATTAGTGGACATGAACATCATACTGGAAGTAATGCAATGAGCAGGTGTCATTTGGTAAAGGTTTCTGGTGGCTATGCAGAGATGAGAGAGCTCACCCACCAGGCACAGTAAGAACTATTTGGAGCCAGTATCAAAATCCAAGGAGGGTTAGAAGGGTAAATAACCAAGTGATAAGGTATAATACAGGATACCATAGCTTCGTGAGAGCACTTATCCTGGTCTTAGGAGTAGCTCAGCTGGAAAAAGCTATAGTGAGTATCTCTGCAATTCTAGAAATAGTAGAAAATGCCACAACAAACACACTACGAGCAATCCAAGAGGAGGTATCCTCTTTGTCCAAAGTGGTACTCCAAAACAGTATGGCATTAAATCTATTTACAGCTAAAGAAATTAAATCTATTTACAGCTAAAGAAGAGAAATCTAGCAAGTGGAAATCCTGCTAGACTAAAGAAAAGGGGTGAATTGAAAGGTGAGAAGGTCCCCATAAGTGAAAGTAAAAAGGCAAGAAGGCTTCACAGTGACTGAGAATAAAGGGAGCGAAAGGGAACAGTTAGAAATAGTTTACAAAAGCAAGAATGTAGAGCTTGTTATAAAAGAAGGGATGGCAGACACTGGGTCTTAGATAGTGAGGGAGATGAAGGCCGTATAGATAAGGGTTTGAGAACAACCCAGGGACATTTGGCAGAGAGATGATTAGATGTCCGCAGAGCAAGAGGAAACTGTTTTGAGGGGATGCCCCCCTGAAAGGTCAGAAGTTTACAACGAGGAAGGTCAGAAGCCTTTGTGAGGAAGACAACAAATCTTCATCCCACAACCCACTATGCACATGCAAGAGGGGAGGGTCTGCATGCTAATGAACTCTTGGGGGTGTAACGAGTATGTATCCGAATTCCAAGAAAGCTATTGATTATGTGTTAGTTTGGCTATATCTGTAGCACAGTTTCTCCAGACGGTGTGCAAGCTTGGAGGAATTATCCCCCTTGCACCAGGGTTTTTGAGCAACTGCTGATAAAACATACCTTCCCTACATCCTTACAGGCTATAGGGTTTGATTTCCACACATCATGAGGCAGCTACAAAGGACATTTAAAACTACTACCCATGAGTCTTTTGATTGGAAGCTTAATTCCTCAGATGATACCTACCTTGGCAAAGGAAACTCTGATTCAAAACAAATAACAGTTCTGGCACTGCCACTTTGAACTAAACTCCTCCACAGAAGGAATGATTTGTGTTGAGTCTTTCTGGACCTTTATTCATCACCATTTTTCAAACCTCATCACCTCTATATCCTATTATGTCAGCAACAAAGATATAGGGATGAATTTATAACTTCAAGAGAAACTCTTCGGTTTCTGTTGTTGCTACTTGTTTTTGTTGTGGCCTTATTTGTTTGTTTGTTTTAAATCTAAGGCTTTGTGATGTTCTAAGACCTAATTCACTGATGTGAAACTTGAAATTCACAGAGCATCATAACAATCTCAGTAAAATGTTCCAGAACAAAAACTTATTTCTAGAGTAGAAGATAATTTACTTATTCTTCATCAAACATGCCTGCTCTCTTCATAGGGACAGGAGAGCACGAGCAAGGAGGCTGCAGGTAGAGAACATACGCTGTGTCAAATGTCACAGAAGAGACAACTATGCATACCACATTCTTTCAGCATGAAATCAGGCTGCATTTTTGAATATGCATATTACCACTTCTAAATGGCTTCAAGTTCATGCATTACAGCTTTAACATCCTCTCTTCTCTCACTTTGTAAAAAAAACCATCATCATCTTTTTAATTGTTAATTTAAAAAAAAGACCAGTCTAGAAAAGCACGTATTTTTCTGGCTGCTGCACAACAGACTTTTGAATTTCATCTAGAAATTGTTACATCATGTTGCACATCAAGGAAAAAAAACCAACCTCTTGAATATAATATAATCATACTTACATGTATGTAAGCATTCTGTTACAGTGGTAGCATCAATCAGGTATCCATTGCACAGACGACAGGTTATATGGGCATTAATGTCCCAAAGCTTAATCTTTCTTGTTAGCATCTTTGGTGTCTACAGAAAAGAAATCATACAGAAACACAGTTGCAGTGATGAAGTAAAGGTAATTTGGTGATAAATTACTAACTAGAATTCATCTTAAAGATATGTTTACACAACTTAAGGTTCTCATACACTCTATATGTATACACACATGCATGTACATACACACGCACAATGACAGCACTAACTTTTAGAAAACTTCACAGAAATACAAGGTGTGAAATACTGGTGATTTCACATTATTTCAAAGTTTCTCTAGCATAAAAAATAGTCTTTCTACCGCACTATTAATAAACCCATCACTGCCCACAGGACTTGGATTTAAGGTGAAATCCTATCATTCTGCTGATCTGGATGCCCCATCCCTGTAAGTGTTCAAGGCCAGATTGGATGGGGCCCTGGTCTAGCATTAAATGAGGAGGGTGGTGGCCCTGCATGTGGCAGGGGGGTTGGAGCTTCATGATCCTTGAGGTCCCTTCCAACCCTGGCCATTCTGTGATTCTGTGATCTAAGCAATTACTAGTCACAGGAGAAATTTCACCAAAAAAAAAAAAAAAAAAAGAGAGAGAGAGAGAGAGAGAGAGAGAGAGAGAGAAAGAGAGAGAAAATCCTCAGAACAATTAGAAAGTACTTTTAAAACTGAGAATTTTAAAAAATTCTGACTTGGCATAGTATGTTCAACTACACTTAACGCCTGCCTTTATTCACTGTATTAAAGCATAATCTTGAAGTCACCTCAGTAACAGCTAAAAAGTAAACCCAGAATTTCATTTTATTTAAATGGGGATTAATAGAAGAACATGTTCCAAATTAAAACTGTTTCACCTTGGCAGAACTGCAGTTTGTTGTACTAAGAAATGTGAACTAGAAAGCTTTTCACTCTTCAATACAAAGGAGAGCATAACTACTATAAAACAGGCAAAAATGAAGAATTAAACAGCTCATTAACTTATTTGGCAGCAACCTCAGTTGCTCTGGGAAAACAGTTTACAAAACCTATTATTTAAGAAGCACATTGTTACCTTTAAAATATATACATATGTATCTTTATCTAATCTATATATAGACAGAACATACACATATACTAGATATAGAACATACATACACACACACACACACACATATATATATATATATATATGTTCTTCTCAATATGCTGAGAAGAAAACTAAGAGAATTTATTGTCACCATAAGTTGACAGCATCAATTAATGGAGGCTAAACTGGTTTATAACTCAGTAGATTTGCCTCCTGCACTTCAGATATGACCACATTATTACATTGCTCTCCATTATGGTAATAGTCCATGGCTCATAAACACTAATAGTTTTCATCTAGTTTAGTAGGGAATGCATTTCCGAATTTTTATGGTAACTCATTTTCCCCAAATTTCACAATGAAATATTTCAACAAGCTTGTTTTACCTTTAACTCAGTTTATCGTATCTTTTTTCCTTTGTTTATTGAAGTGGTATTAAGCAGAAAGGACTATACATCATAAAGCAAACCTCCATACCAATCTGATCTAACCTAGAGTTGACAAAGTACTTTATGCTCCATTATAACATTGGAAAAGCACATAATTTATCACAAGCTCATGAAGTTCTGTACTGTCCTATACAAAACGCACTAGGAAGAATTCCAGTGGTTAAGTAACAGACAGGTATCAAGCTTGTTTTATGGCATCTGAGATTTCTTAATTAAGGTAGCAACTAGCTTCTGACAGAAGAATGACAAGCACGAACTCCAGAACCCCGACCCATCTATTCTACGAACTTAATTACTTTTTTAAATCTTAATTTATAGTTTTGATTCTAACTATTTCAAAAGTAGGTGTATACTCAGCACTTAAAATCTAGCCTATGAGGTATCCAGATAAAGAAGCTACTCCATGAATTACTTAACATTTCTAATACTCGGGGAAAAAGGTTTTTAGCATCATTCTTACAAACAGTTCAGGAGATGGGTTTAAACGACTGTTCATGTAGAGAGCATTTTGTAATATCAATTCACAATGCGTAGAAGAGAAGTTAAGCTACAAGTATACTTAGGCATTACTAATACAACCCTACTTATACAGACAGGAATGCAGAACGAAGCGTTCAGGATTACCACAGATTGACTCCAACCATTAAAGAGGCAGAAAAGTCAAAGATGTTACAGGGAAAATTGAAGCAAAAAAAATTATTTTCTAGCAAAAGCTAGATGCAACCTTTTCTGCCACTACAGAAGAGACAAGCAATGTTATTACATGAATCACATGACACAGCACTAGAAAAAACCTGCAGCAAATGTAAACCAAATGAGATGGGACAAAGTATTAAGAGAACAACAAACAAACCATACAGAGAAAAGGTAAAAATGCTACAAAGGGTAATAAAGTCAATTTTACCAGGAAAAAAAAAAAAAAAAAGGATGAAACATACTCCACTGACTGGATGGGAAGCAAAAAAATACACGTGCAATAGAATCCAAAGCATGCCTATCTGGCAAACTCATGAACTGAAATGTTAAAGAAAGTTATCATCTGACATGAAATCTTGTAATTTCAGAGCACAGAGCAGAATCTGAATTTTTTAAACACCATTCTCAGAACGTAGCAGCGCTTTTTCACAGTTTAACACTGCAAATATTAGGTTGCTGTAAAAATTAACAAAGCAAATCTGTACAATACAGTGCTTCAGTTGTTCTCCTACAGTTATCTTCTTAAATTGTAACATACTAGAGCAAGTAATCTCAATCTGAAGGAAGTGTAAATATCTTCCTGAGCCTCTGTAGACTGAACAGTGACATTTGATCTAAAATTGAAGCTTTTCACTCCTCACCTAGCAAACAAGTGAACATTAGGATCAAAATACAATGCTCCTTCCTCAAAATCTTGTCGCTGGAACAGAAAGAAGTCACAGTTATCAATCCTAGAATCACAAAACACTCTGAACAACAGATGCTTCCTAATAATCTGAATCTCACCTGCTTTTACAGGAAACATAATATACAGAGAAATGATCACTCAGCAGGCTACAAAGATTCACAGGATCATGCTGATTGGAAGTAACTTCCCAAAAGCTCTAATCCCACTTTGCACTCAAAGTCACACAGTTTAAAAGTGAATTACTCCTGGGCACAGTCCTGCTGCATTCGAACATATCCAGGAATGGATACTCCACAGTCTCTCTAGGCAACCTGTTCCAAATTCTGACCAATTGTCATTGCCAAAAAAGTGCTCCAATTATTTAATGGCATTGAATGGTCCTGCACTGTAATTTGTGTGCAATTCCTCTCATCCCAACAGTGTGCACCTCTGATAACAGAGTGGCTCCATTTTCTTGATTACTGTCCGTAAGCATATGAAGATAGCAGCACCATCTTCCTTTACACTTAGGAAAAAAAAAAACCAAAAAACTTAGAACCTTTGTCCGCACAGCATATAAAAGCAGCAACACCAGTATCTCAGACGATAGCAAAGAACCACTGTTAACCCAAATATTTAGTACTTTGCACTGGAAAATATTTTTGAGTCAGGACAAAATTAATTGGAAGTGTACTGATTTAAAGAAATAGGAAACCTGAAGTTTGAGAGACCTGAATCAATTCTTGAAAGAAGTCTTGTTTTAAAGCGCTGTGGTTTAACCCAGCAGGCAGCTAAACACCACAAAGCCATTCACTCACTAAAGTGAAAGAAGCAGAACTCACGGAATGAGATAAAAACTATTCATTAAGGTAGAAAACGTAGAGAGAAATATCAGTAATTATCATAATGTGCATGCATAATTACATATATATACAAAGCCAAGTGATGCACGAGCAATTGCTCATCACCCACCAACTTATCCCCAGCCAGTCCCTAAGCAGTGGCTGCTCCCTGGGCCAACTCCCCTCAGTTTTATATTTTTTTTTCACATGATGTCATATGGTATAGAACATCCTTTTGGCCAGATCAGGTTAGCTGTCCTGGTTCTGTCCCCTCCCAGCTCTCTGTGCTCCCCCCATACAGCACCTTCACTGGCAGGGCAGTACAAGAAGTTGAAACACTGAAACGTCCTTGGCTCTGTGCAGCATTGTTCAGCAGCACCTGAAACATTATGGTGTAACCAACATTGCTTTTCTTCCAAAGCCAAAACACAGCATCACAGTAGAAACCACTATGAAAATCAACTCTGTTCAAGCTGAAACAGGATTAAAAGAAAAAAGAAAGAAAAGAAAATGAGGGCCCCAAAAAAATCTGGGCTAGATGAATTTTCTCTGTGAAAAACTAACAAAATCTGCTTTCCTAAAATATGCCATTGATGAATCCTGAAATGGATAAGAGTGCTATCCAAATCAATTTTGAGGAGATTGCTTTCCTAGCAGCTGTGCAACAATGAATTATTAATGAATTATTTAGAAGCAGCCTATCTACAACAGAGAGAGAAGCAGCAGTCTACTGCTCTGGAACATGGACTCCGTGAAGCAAAAAGTTCCATACATCCTGCCAACATACCAAAAAGATCATTTGAACCAAGAATCATGTTTCCTCTTAGTTCCAATTAACATTATTTGACACCAGATTGTCAGATCATCATCAGCCTCTGACTATCTGGTAAGTACCACATCATGACGGGAGGAAACACATGAAGACAATTACAAAGACATCTACACTATATTTCTATTTAGTATTAATAAATATAAACAAACAAAAATGAACACAATCAGGAGATGCTGGCAGTGAATATGCATGTGTCAGTCAAGTGGTTTTAGATACTTTAGTGTTTCATCCACTAAGGCAGCTTTCCATTAAGATGATCAGGCAGTGTATTACAGAAACTGTCTCTCCAACATGGCCAAATGCCCTTGTATATGCTTTTACCTTTCAGAGACATTGCAGCACTGAAAACGAATACTAACTCAAGTTCAAAGAGAGGATATGCAAAGAAATTCCTTAGAAGTTTGGCCTTATCATTAGTATATATACTAGTCAGGAATATTTGGGCCTACATGAGGCATACCTCTCAAACCAGCATTTCTTTTCAGAGTTTGCCATCCAGAGACCTGAAAAGACAGAAAAATAGTCTGAAAGTTAACATCCAAAGTTCCTCAAAATCCAGCTGCCACGTAGAAATACCTAGCTTACCAAATTCAACTAGAAGTTCCTAATTAATTTAAGATAATAGCAGGCTGGGGGGGAGCACATGATTCGTATCTGATCAAGAAAGCAGGAAAAGACTATCAGAATTAGAAAGATGGAAAAGGAACTTAAAAAGAAGAAGATGTCAGTGTCCCACAAAAGGACACAGATACTGTGGGAACCACAAAAGTCCAGCTTTTGCCATGTGAAGGCAAAATATAGAGAAATACATTATCTTCACAAATGACAGAAGGAAAAACAAACAAACAGAAGGATCCACAATGTATGGCTTACTTAGATAGTGATCAGTTTGGAAAAAAGAAAAAGAAAAAAAAAAAGAAAAGATTTTGGATTCGTGGTCCACAGCCAGATAAGAATTATTGTCAGCTTTCAAGCTGCATTTACAAGTAATCTGTAATATCTAAAAATACTGTAGAGGAGATACTTTATATTTCCAGAATCTCTATAATTTTATTTTGGAAAATATTTAGAAAAAAGATGTTTGTGTCACCTTCCAGAGAGAGGATAATCTCATACATATATCACAGTATGAGAAAAGAAGGAAGTTTTCCTTATGAAGTGATTCACACAAGGAAAACTCAGATGTTAAGAGAGAGGTAATGAGTACTACTGCTTCCATCCTCCTGTTCCACAAATCAAAGCACAGCCTGCAGATGCTGGTTTTAGTGTGACATTGCTAAAGGAATTACAAATACCATGACACAAAATATTTACGGTAGCATAAGGCACAAACAACGATGCAAAACAAATACGAAACTCTTCACAATTGTACCATGAGGTGCTTTTACTGCATTCAGAGAAAAAAATACTGCTAACTGAAAACAAGGCAAGGCTGCATCAGATGCTACTTCATTTCAACCCACAAAAAAGATCATCACAGAAGAAATAAGAAGCCTTATATGGACAGGAGGAGAAACAAAGAGGTATCTGTGATCTGCCGCAAGATTTACTTTGCAGCACAACATGGAGAACACTGCAGCCAACTACGCAGCTGCTAAAGATGGACTTAGAGGTTTAACAGCAGTCTAACAGCACACAACAACATGAACTTGTGAAGAACATGGTCTTCCAAAGAAACTGCCGTGCACCTTCCCTCACAGCTGCTAGGAGAGAACAAGGTCATACCTGAGTTAAGCTGGAAGAAGAAAGTGGTACGTAAGTGGTATGGGCAGAGCCAGCAGACAAGTTTGTCCTAAAACTCCATCATATGCTTCCGATGCTGGTAGCACAATGACAGTGATGCACTACAAATGCTTAATACAGAGAACATCCATACATTTAGAGATACTCATTGAGAACTGGGAAAGCAGACTTATCTGCTGATCCTGGACACCAACGTGTTAGAACAGAGCACTACTACTCCAGAAAGGTTTTATTTAAAGGTTTCTTCAAACTGCTACTGCTATTCTTGATAACTTGACAGTTTATCTAACCGTAATTCTCTTTTATATCACTCAGCACTTAAGGCAAAACAGGTAGTTGCTTTGACCAGCTACAAACTGAAGTGAATGCCTGAAGGATTCACAAGTCATTACAGCATCACTCTATTTAAAGCATAAGCATTTTGTTTTTCTTCTGCTGAAATATAGCATAATGTTACTTCATTAAAAAGCAGAAAAAACAGAGCTCACAGTGGAGAGCTTGGCGAGAAGCAGCTGTACACAGCAGATGTTACTAATTTTGCAGAATAATTACTGAAAGGCATTAAGGTTATATAGCACTGGAAGCAGAAAGAAAACAATGGCAGGTATACCTCAGTTACAAGGACTGTGGCATTAAAGTGAAAGTCACAGCTGTAAGAACAAAATATTAAATTGAAGGAACTTTGTGCAGACCCAGAACTTAGTAAAGAAATGTTCCAAATTTAAGTCTGCAGTAGCTTTGTTAGAAACTGCATGAGGATGAAATACAGTACGCACACAAAAGATATTTTCTAAGATTATTTCTAAGAGTATCACTTAAATTTTAGAAGACAAAACACCAGTTTAATATTAATCATCTTCACTTCTACAAACGTTTCCATCACAGGACAAGATATTTTATGAGTCAGACATTTATTGCAGGAGAACAGGCATGACCAAAGAGCTATTGTAAAAGCCTGTACAGAGCTCTGGAGAGTAACAGGGTTATTACCTCAGGTAAACAACTTCAGGTGCAGGACACCTTTCTTCAAGGAATGGAAGGACATTCCATTCCTTGGTAAACAGAGTAAACAGAGCATTTGTAGATGTCTTCGCTTCAGATATCAGTCATTTGCTTCAACTGTTTTCAAGTTTTATTATTATTGAGTATTTAATGTCAAACAATTTATCTGCCACTATATCCGCAGATATAGTGGAAGTGAGAAGGTTCTGAGTTTAGTAAAAATGCATAGATAGTAGAAAAGATTCTTCCAAATTGAGTTATAAAATATTGTAGACGTAAACAAAATTCTTTGTGTTGTATTTGCCAAGCACTATTTAATAAAAGAACCTACCAGAAACAAATGTTTTTCTTAAGCAGGCCCAATGCTCGCATCTGCTTTAGCAAGCCAACTTCTGATAAACATGATAAGAAGCTTTTTTATTACTTAGTTTATCCACATAATTAAATGTTAAAGTAACAAATGCGTACAAGCACTCCTTTTAGTATAATGCCAGAAATTCCTCACGTCTCCTGGCAAGTCATTTTTCCTCTTTTAAGAAATGCATCAGCACCAGCAGATGGCACTGGTTCCCTAACTTCGTAGAGCAGGTCCACCTGCTGCTAGCTTCAGCACTGAGGATATAAAACACCAGTGCCCAACCTTTCAGCTTGCCTGGTCCGCACCGTGCCTGGTTCAACTGAAGTAGCCACGGTTCCTAGTGAGCTCTCAAGGCCTTCATCAGATCTTTAATGAAATATTGCTCTTTCTCTACTTTATCCTTGACAATAATCGTTCAAAAATGTATGTACTGCCAAAAAAGTGATGATGTTATTAAGGCATGACTGTGAAGCATGGGATATTTTTCTTTTATGAAAGTCCTGTAAAGAGACACGACCAAATTTTTGAGTTGAACATCTGATTGCAACCCTATACATTCAATTTGGAAAATCAAAGGTAATGTATTTATGTCACCTGAAAATGGAGTCACAAATACACCAAAAATATTTATGACTCTGGAAATCCCGAAACCTATTCTCAAACCCCTTTATCAAATTACAAAACAGGGCTGCACATTTTTTGCTCTTCACAGGACCATGTTTAGCTAATTCATGTATGAAATTATTTGCTGTAACTTGAGCTTGCTATAATTCAAGTTTTATTTCAAACACTATCATGCTTTGAAACACAGCACAGATTAAGCTGATTTTCACCGTGAAGACATACGTTTAGCACATTTCAATGGGCAGTCAAACCCACCAAAAATGCTAAACCTGTGAGCCATTTTTGGCACAAGTTTCCATTTTGACTCCAAAAAGGACTTGATTTCAATTTGCATATCATGACTTCTTTTATTATTTTATCCTGACTTAGCCACGTTCCTTCAAAAAAGTAAATGGGTGTCTGCATAATCAACATCCGTATTTTTAAGGAACTCCTGGAATTGGCGATGATTCAACCCACTGGATTTTACAAAATTCACAGCTTTGATGATGATTTGCATGACATTATCCATTTTTAAGGCTTTCACACATAAATTTTCATGATGTATGACACAGTGATATTTCATCAAATGTGAGTTGTCAGTGGCAATTGCATCTTCTTCTATTAATTTTATAAGTCCTTTTTTTCCCCAGCCATCACTGGGGCACCATCATTAGCTATACCAGACATGTTGACAAAGGTTGAAGAAAATCACTTTAGCATATTTTTTTACTGCTTCATACAAATCAAGCTATTTATTGTGGCTTTTAATGGCACCAAAGAAGCCATTTTCTTTATTATCTCTAATGAAAATGGCAAGTTGAGCCATATCTGCAGTGTCAGTACTTTCATCTATTACCAAAGCAAAAAATTTTGAAATTAGCAGCTTTAGTCTCCAAATTTCTTTCAACAGATGTTCCCATTTCTTCAGCTCACCTGGCTACTGTCTGGTGACACAAACTGATTTTAGAAAAATATGGGTTTTTTTTGTTTTTTTTTTTAATCAGGACACATTATATTTGCCATGCTTTCCATTCATTGCTTAATAAAGTCACCATCAGTTAATGTTTTTTATTTTTTTGCAATTAGATTTGCTACCACATAACTAGTTTTTAAAAACAGAATATTTTAGAGTTTTAAAAAAGATATCACTAAGATGACAGACTTTTTTCAGTTCTGCTATTTTGTCTTTATGAAACATTCCTTGATACACATTGCATTTGGCAGCATGTTTCTGCATATAATGTAAACTCTAATCTTTGAAAACTGACACAATTTCCTTGCAAATTAAGCATAGTACCATATTATTGTCTTGACAAAGTAGTACCCATCTGTCCACTTTTCCTTGAACACTCTTCCTTCATCCACGACTCTTCTTTTGTGAGGGTTCTGTTTTCTTCTGTGATGCCCATATGCAGTCTGAAGTATGGCAATCACTGTGTTTTACTCAGCAAACAGCACAAGCGCACGTCACAAGTAACACACACAGGTTTCAGTGTGACTGAGTGGGTACAAGGGGTGCAAGAAGCAGAGTTCTGTGCTCTCCCCACATCCAGGGGCTGGGCCAGGCCATGTGGAGGGGAAGAGTTACTGCCATGATGATGCAGGGCAAGCGGCAGTGTGAGCCGTGCCAGGCCACTGGTTGGACATGCCTAAAATAAAACAAGCAAGTAAAAGCTCCCCCCGCCTTACAGATCTGTTGTTTCTGCTTTCCCAAAATAAATAACCACTGAGCACAAATGAAGTATGCAGTTTTATGCTGAGCAACTTGCTGAGGACAAACGTAAGCTACCTGACAGGTCAAGAGTCTTGAGTTCCATTAGAAACTGGACTATATGCTTTTCAGCATCTCAAAGATAAAAATGGCCTGCAAGAATTGGATGCTATTTGCTTCACTTTTCTGAGTATCTGCCCTGCTGCTATGCTGCTACCACACTACAAAAATTCATATGTAATTGATCCTAGAGAATGGTTTTAAATGATTTTATAATCCATCGTTACAATGCTTCCCCAAAGAATGCCACTTGACATGAGCCATACCATGCAACCTAACAAATCTCATTAAATATGTTCACAGAAGCAAAGTAATGCTGTTCTAAAAGGGTATTACTGAAACTGAGGGTGCAGAACACAGGACAGACCGTCACTGAGTACTGATCTTCTTCCAGTAAGTTATTTCCTAGGTGGCCAAGGATTCTTCACAAGCAGTATTTTCTCCACACAAGACCTTCATTACAAGGCATTCCACTCAGCAGTATGAAATACTTCTTCCTCCTTAGGTCTCTTACAGCTGTTTATGAAGAGTATAAATGCTAAACCAAAGTAAAGTTGTGGCAACTATGCATACACCTGAGCTGCAGTTCAGAAATGAGAAGAAAAACAAACTTTAACCAGCTAATGATTCCAATTACATATCACCAGGCACTTAATTACTAGATAATCCATAGTCTCTATGATTCTTTTAAGGAATAAACTTTAAGAAAAGCTTTTCTGCTGTGAGGGTGACAGAGAAGTTGAAGTAAGCTGCCCGGAGACTGTGGTCACTTCCTCTCTAGAGAGAGTCAAAACCTCCCTGGATGTGTTCCCGTGCAATCTGTCCTGACTCCACTGGAACAAGGCAGGTCAATGAATTACAGAATCAGAGAATGGTTCGGGTTGGAAGACACCCCAAGGGTCATCAAGTTCCAACCCCTCTGCTGCAGTCAGGACCTCTAATTTTCAGATCTGGTACCAGATCTGGTCAGACTAGATGACCTTCAGAGGTCCCTTCCAACCTCAACCCATGTGTTTGTGATGCATACGTGACTTGCCTGCCCACAACTATGTTGACAGCTTGACTTCTTCAACTAACACAAAAGTCTCTACAATTTCATTTTGAAACCAATTACAATCAGATCTCCATTCCTCCAGAATCACTACTTTAAAACAGAGGCTTAAATTAGTTTCACTTGCAAGATATAAAGCTATATTTTAAGAATTTCACAAAAAGACCAGAAAGCTATTGTGCTAGCTTTCTCAGCAAAATCAAGTGTCAGTATTTAGTTTTGCTTTTACATATTTCAGTACATCAGAGGTTTAGGGGTTTAATTTTTGAGACATTTCATTGTTCCCTAATCAATCAGAAACCTTCCTTAGAAGGTGTAATTTTCTATGTGCAGGCAAGTTCCTGATTTCTTCCCAGAATCTAATATTATCTGATGTTTGTGTCAGAAATACAGTTTCAAAATACTTTCTGTACAGAAGACATTCACAAAGTCAGTCATATAATTAAGTAAAAAACAGCAGAAAAAGAAGAACAACTACAACGGAACCAAAACCGTTAGCCTACTAGCACTGAAATAATAGTTCTTATGAAGAACCAGCAAAAAAGAACAACAATAAAACTTATTTTGTAGTCAGCAAGCAAAAGCCCCTTCAAGACAGATATCCAGAAATTTTCAATTAATGTATAAACACAAGTAGCTCTATAAGAAGAGGGAAGAAAATGAGCCCAGTTTTAAACTGGTTACGCGAGTCTATCATTTAGAGATCTTGTTTGCTGCTGATTTTTTTTTTTCTTTCATCTGTTGTCTTGTTTCCATAAGTGATGGGTGAAATGTTTTTCCTTTAACTTCCTGCAATCACAACAAGCTATGCCTGAATATTTCAGAGGTAAAACTGCCTCTGTGGAATAAGCACAAGCTGATCTTCAAAATTACTCTCAGTATTATAGTGGTAGGTTTTATTCTAAACACATTTTTAAGTCAGAAATTCTTACTATTCATTAATCATTTCACATTACTCTTAATTTTAAACAATTAAGATATAAAGGAGAATCAAAGAGTAGCAGATGACCACAAAAACCGAAGTATAAATATGAGCTTTAGATAACTTGCTTGAAAGAATCATGATTTAAATTTTCTAAAATACCATGATACGCTCATGCTAATGTAAGCTATTTAGATAATAATTAAAAAAGGGGGGGGAAAGATAACCACATCATTTTCTGGAAAGTATCTTCTAGAGTCTATGTTTTATTCACTTCTTTGATCTACTATAGAGACTTGAGAACAGAATATACTTTGGTCTTTTCTAAGGAGACCTGACTAACAGGGTAAAGGGAAACTACCTGGGGTGTAGTTGCACCATTACTAATAGTTGCACACAGATGGCTAAGATGTGTACACCCTACAGTGAAACACATTTGCTTTTTACACATTTGTCTCAAAGAATCAGATAATCAGAGGTGTTGAAAGAGACCTCTGGAGATTAAGTCCATCCTCCTGCTAAAGCAGGTTCCCTACAGGAACGCACATGAAAACATCCAGGGAGGTTCTGCGCATCTCCAGAGAGGAAGACTCCACAGCCCCTCTGGGCAGCCTGATCCAGTGCTCTGTCACCGTCAGAGTAAAGAAGATTTTTCTCATATTCAGATGGAACATCATATGTGTCTATTGATGCTTGCCCTGTTGCTGAACACCGCTAAAAGGAACCTGGCCTCACCCACCTGACTTACACCCTTCAGATGCATTCAAGGTCACTGTGCTGCATCATGTTTACTTTGGTGTCCACCAAGACCCCCCGGGCACTTTTCTGCATAGTTGCCTTCCAGTCAGGTCTGGTGCCTGGGATTTATCTTGATGCAAGACTTCACCATTTCCCCTTGTTGAACTCTGCTTGGTTCTTCACTAGCCTGCCCAGGTCCCTCTGGATGGCAGCACAGCCCTGTGGTTTATCCACTACTTGCCCAGGCCCCACTGCAAGTAAATTACATGTAGAAAGTAAAACAAATGTTTGAGATGTAGAAAAATAATAATCAGGACATAGAACTGAAGCTACCTATTCACCTGGCACACTTATCAGACTTCATGTTACAATCAGAGATGAAGCTGTTTCTTACTTTACCATAAAATATTTGCTTTTGATTACGCAAAATAAGTTACACCCTGGTATAAGTTGTCAACATAACAGAGATGACAGTCTAACTTTCTGCCTTGCGCTGTACTGTTAAATCACACAACATGGGGGAAAAAAAAAAGGAATTCAAGTAAGGTAGAAGAAATAGCAATACTGCTGAAGACAAGTTAAAGACTTGTAACTGAATCCCGTATCCTTTGACACAAACTTCAGTAATGCATTTTTCATTTCATTTTATACAAAGGAAAAAGGAACAAATACCACATCAGAACTGCTGTAGTAATTAACATTTTTAGAAAATTCACAACATATTAAATGCTATAAAAATGTTATTATTGCAGAAGAATAGTATTCACATTCAATTTCATTTCAGCATCTTTAAATCTTTCTTTATGAAGCACCCTACAGAACATTCTTGCAGGTGTACACATATATGTACACATATTCGTCTATGTTGATGCATGCATATGAAGGGAGAGAAAGAGAATGAAAGAACACTTAAACTGTACAAATGGTAATTTGAAAGAGCACAGAAATTAAGTACTCTGCTCCTATAAAAGCCAGTGGAAGATTTTAGCATTGAATTACTTTAGCTCTGAAGGTGAAAGCAAACAGCGTGATAAGATACAAGACTAAAGTCTTCTTATCTACAACGAGGATTGAAAATAGCCTCAAATGAATATGGATAAAGAATCAATATTAAATCAAAGACAGCATTTTAAAGGAATCTGTTTAGGAAGAGGAACAATAAGTATATAATACTTATATACAAGAAGTAAAAAGTAAGAGAAAGGCAGATTTTTAAGTACAGAAAATATATATACACACAGTAAGTGCAACTCGGTCTACCTTTCTCCTTCCTACCTCCCATCACAACTGCCAGCCCCAGTGTCATACCGTGTATCTGTCCTCCCTCAGTCTTCCCACTACCTTAACTCTTTTTACAATCAGAAAACAGATAAATATGTATTACATTCAAAGACATGTAGGCAAATGTAATTATGGAAGGAATCATATTCTTATAATTGAGCAAGAAGAGGTTTCTCAAGTGTCAACAGATGGCAGGTATCTCCTATCAGAAATAAAACATGATCATGAATGAAAAAGTATGCATGATGAATTATTTTCTTTTTTTAATATGAATTTTAAGTTTCTTTTCAGAAGCTACCTTAAGTGTATTTACAGTGAGCTTACAGATTGCAACGATCTCCTTGTATAAGGATGCATTATCTTGAAAGTCAATACTCACAAATCATTGCTACAATCCTTAGAAACTACTTCCATATTACAAAACAAGAAAAAAAATTATAAAAGTGTACTAAGTAAAAAAGTAAAAAGAGCTGACCACTGTCAAGAGCACTCATAGGAAGAAACAACAGTAACAAAAATCATGCATTCATGTAATTGACCAAAAATGTACAAAACAAAAGATGAATCCAATTCTAAGAGGACAGAGTGGTTAAAAATGACTGCTGTTTTTAGTCTTTTCTTGAGGTGTATTAGGACACAAATTTTTCAAATATTATAGCCATTTCAAAAGCAGCACACTACAATCAGTGTTCCTAAACTGCATCATTGTCATGTGCCCTACTATTATAAAGCCAGCCTGTGAACACATAAAACACTACCACAAAAATTCTGAGACATTTTGTGAATTTCTGTGATTTAAGGCAAGGCAAAGTTAGTAAACATTTCCTGCTCACACTGGACATAAGGAGGTCCCACCACAGGGGTCAGAACTTCCAAGTCCTCTACTGACATTCTTCAGACATAGCAGGAAAAATGGCTTTGCGAAAAGCTCTGCACTGAACAGCAGTGCCTCTGGAGACTTGCAGGCTAAAAGCATATGAGCTGGCCTACGCAACAGCATTAAAACTGTAGGTTTTCCTTTTCTTGTAGCACCAGCTGCTAAAGGAAAACAGCATCTTCTCACCTCCAACTCCACCCTTCCCAATCACTTTTGACCCTGAAACAAGTGATACAACGGGCAGAATAAGATTCAGCTACAGAAAGACTAGGGGAGAAAAAAAGCAAGACAAGAAGGCTTTGGAAATGTCAGAACTCTTTCAGAGAGTGGTGTCTTGCACTCATTTCTGTTGTGCTCACACTGAACTGTACTGAGATTAGAGATGTGGTACTTAAGCTATGTTGCGATCTACTGCAGTAATGTTAAGCCCATTCAGAGAAAGCTAGGTTGCAGTTCTTACCTACGAATTTTCTGTCTTCTTTTGACATACCCCAGTTGATTCAGTTCTATCTCCGACAAAAAACAACCACTATTAAGTAAAAATAGGAAATGTAAGCATCATTTGTAATTTCTGCACTCATTGGTTAACAGATAATGCAGTGATACCTGACCATCACAGAAACAACAGGCTTACATTTTATCTTAGCCAGTACCTTCCTCTCCACAATAAACCACTTCCACAATACTGCTTTCACTGCTTTTGAGAGTTGCAAAAGTATGCAAATACTAACAGCAAGCATCTCTGAGCAGCTGCAGCATAAGCAGAGACTTCATTTGGTACTAGATAACCTGAAGAAGTGACATAATCCCATTAGAGGAGGTGCTTTAATGTCTCAAAAGCTCCACAATATCAAAATTACTTTTAACTTTTGAGAATTTTTTTTTTTTTTTTAAATCAGATAGACTTGCTAGCCTGAATACATGGTTTTATTGTAGAAGTCTGCATATGCACTAGCCTTTCATGCAGATTACTGAAGCATATGATTACAGTGAACTTTAGTTAAACTTTTGTTTAGAACATCTTTTTATTGATTACAACCTTACAAAGTCAATCTTCTATACATTTTCTTGCAAGAAAAAACTTCTGAAAGCTGCTTCTTTTGAAGAACATATTTAGCCTGATCTGTTATATCTAGCTTTCTTGACTACAGAACTCCAGAACTTCATAATTACATTGTTCAAAGTTCTTAATGGAATCTCCCTAAAACAGCACCTTCCACAGTAGATGGTGTTGCTTCAGGGCTTTGGGACACATTGAAAGTGACTCATGAGCCTGTATAGAATGTTCTGCTGGATGGTGAAATCCATTTATTCATGGGAAGGTTAAAAGAGAGTTGGGGAACACTCAAGGGAAGAGTCTGTAGTGCACAGTGAAAAGTGTGATTTTCCTTTGGCAATTGGTCACTAATGGTGTTCCCCAAGAACCAGTACTGGGGCTAGTCCTGCTTAATATCTATACTGATGACGTAGCCAAGGGGATTGAGGGCACCCTCAATAAGTTTGCAGATGACACCAACTTTGGAGGAACTGTCGATCCTGCTGAGGGTAGTAAGGCCCTACAGAGTGATCTGGATAGGCTGGATAGCTGTGCTGAAGCCAGTGGAATGAAGTTTAACAAGACCAAGTGCCGAGTCCTACACTTTGGCCACAGTAACACCGGGCAACGTCCCAAGTTGGACTGGATGATCTTAGAAGTCTTTTCCAGCCTTTCTGGTTCTGTACAAGAACCACTGACTGGCTAGATTTGATTCTACCTAACCAATTTTACATTTCTGACAAAGAATCACTGCCTTAATTACATACAAATTCTTCTTTATGTTCTGCTTTTTCCTTTATTTAGTGCTAAGGGTACAAGGTCATTTCTGATCAATGCCCATTAGAATCTCTTATAAAACTTGGAAGAGGCCTTAAAATATCAAAGTCCTTAAAGACTGTAAAAATACTATAAAAACCACAGCATTATGTCAGGAACTAGCTTGCTTTTATTAATGAATACCACTACAACTTTGTTGAAAATTTAGATCCAAAAACAATTGAAAAGGCACTTCATTTCCATTCAGATCTCATGGATCCAAAGCAAAAACTTCAGTCAGACTGTACAAGAGAGCACCTGAACACATATCACTTTTTTGTAACGTTTTAAATCCATGCATCTGGGAGAAAGCAATTTATGACTTAACCACAGTTGAAACAGATTTTAATCTTCATATTGTGCCCTCTTCAGAACAAATGAGTAACTTACAACACCAACATCTTTAGCTGTCACTTGAATTGATGCTGCATTTTCATGGATTGCCCTGTAACTCCCTCTATATGTGGGAGCTAATAAAGGCTTGAAAGGAACTTGAGAAGTCCATCACGGTGAAGCCAGAAGAAGCTTAATGGACCATGTCATTAACCCCCCCCCCCCCAAAAAAAAAGCCAAACCACATTATGTTTTGATGATTGTTTAAAAATTTTGCCCTTTCTCCTTCTCTTTATAGCCTTAACTTAACTTACTTTGTAGAAAGGTCTTAATTCTAGGTATCAGTGAAATATCCAGTTTATATGTAATGTTGTGTGTGTTTCTAAAATACTGAAACCAACCACTTATTAACAAAGACAAAGAAAGGGTTTATCACTAGTTAGTAATTGCTGGGTAACCCAAAAACGTATTTTTAAGCCTTTTATCCAAAGCAGTTATCATGCTCTACTAGAAACAAGTGTGCCAATCTCATGCAAATACTGCCTGTTTTTAAGAAGGAGAGGACAAAGTTCCTTCATAGAGGAACTGAAAAAAATTCCATTTGATATTCAGTAAAAGGCCTTTAGGAATCCAGGTTTTCAGTCCTTGACTCAATCTTTTAGGATGAAATCTGTGACAAGAAGTTACTAGCAGGTGTGAAATAGGAAGGTACTGCAATTTAACTAAATAAACATTTTATAAGCAACCATTTTTCTTTTTAATGTTCTCATGTTATTTAATAAAACCTAGATTACAGCACTTAACCATTAAGTAATCCAAACAAAGATTTGGAAGAACGTGATAAAATTATATATTCATGCCTTTTGTCTAAACAATTTCATTTATCAAAACTTTCAGCTTCACTGATCTGTCTAACAATCATCTTTGAGCTGCTATGAAGATGAGTAATGTTACTAGAATTGTCCCTAGATTACTAAGATGGATGGCAGGTATTTCTGTGTTTTTCCTGGATTCATCTGTACACGTAGTAACTTACATACAAGTAGATACTCGATATATAGACAAACGTGCTCTGCTCTCATTCACCTCTTTCAGAAGTAAATTGTAGCATCCATTTTATAGTTACTGACTCTCCTTTGAATGCTTGCTGCTGCAGATTACTTAATGCAGACACACTCCTGACCTTCCAAGTGACTGCATATATTAAAACGACTCTCATGTTTGACTTCATGTGCAGAAAACACATTATTTCCTTGACATGAAATTATACAGCTGAATTTTAACCAACAGAGCAGAAAAGCTACTTCCTTTCCACCAACATCGAGTCAGCCTTCTTTATCTTTCAGTATTTAACAAGGTAATTCTTAACTTCAAGTCTTGAAACATCAGTTTTGGAAAGATGCTTCATCTTTTTAAAAAATAAAAAATACCCAAGTTTATTAACTTAAGACCCAAAAGAAATACAGTTGTTAGAGTGAAAGATATCAAGGCAGTAAGTGCAGAAATTCAGGACCATCTAAGGTGGGACTTGCAGCTGCTGCAATAGAACAAAAGCAACAGAGGACTGTGCATGTCACCTTCAAGGACAGAAAGATTTCTCCTTGTTAAAAATACAGAATAACGTGTTACTAAAAGCTTTCTTTCTTAACACAGTGACATACAACTGTTTCAGTAATACATCATCCCATTAACAGTTTAAGTACACTTGTCAGTCACTGTCAGTGAGAAAAAGAACTCATAGCCTCCGAAGTTCATCCCAATAGCTTGTATTTATTTCTCTGTCAACACACGCTGCAAAGGGCTGCATTCATCATCTAAAATTTACTACTTTACTTTGCTGTTGTGGAATGTTTTTCAAGTACTTAAGCGATCTCCACTCATTATCTCTGAGAACATTTCATTTTGTTCAGTATAAACAAGTTTGCACTGCAACATATCATGAACTGAAGAATGACAGTCAGGAATGAGTCTTCACTACTTAAATTGAGTCTATTCTTAACATGAAAGTCTTTTTTGTTTTAGGCACTGTACCAAATTCTGATACTGCTGTTAATTTCACAGCAGTCAGTGTTCTGCAGGTACTTTATGTTTAGAAGATACAAAGTACAGGGAGTATAAATAGCAGGGAATTCGGGCATTATAATGCAAAGCATACACCACATTTATTTTTAATAGATGTTGATGCAAACAGAGAATTTTTTTTTTCCCATGACCATATTCAAAGTCTCACAGGAAACTGTTGTAACTACTTCTCAGTGCTGTAAGACCTTAAGTACAGCAGCGGAATAAAAGGGGAGGAAAAGCTGTGACACTGACACCACTTAGGACACTTCAAAGCCTGAGAAACACCAGTTTTCCA